AAAAAAGAGAACCTTAAATTAATAGAAAAATAAGAGTATTGAAGAAATCACCAGATACAGACTTTAGACCATGACCGTAAGCCAAGTTTACATGTAACCCTTTGCACTTAATAACATCATTATAGCTTAGTTAAGGATTTAGTATAGATTTAAATTATAATTAGTCTATCTTTGGAAATACTTAATTGATAATAACTTGACTTTGTATAGTATTTCACAAAGCATATAAATCTCATGTACTTATCAAAGCAGATAGATCTAGTTCGTTATCTTCTAAGATTGTGATGAACATTCTGCAGTTATTATCCTCACCGTTTATAGATAAAGAACCTGAGACTCAAGGAGTCTTTTCCAAGATCACACAACTTGTAAATGGTCAAGGTGAAGAATAAAACCCAAATACTGTAGTTGTTTAAAAATCCTGATTCTATGTTTGTTTGTTTGTTTGTTTGTTTAAGTAGTACTATACCACAAGACCTCCACCCTATTTGCCAAAGATGACAGCTGGTAGTGTGGAGTAGAATTAGCCAAGTAACTTGCTCAGAGAGAGAAAGGAGACTTGATTGAGTCTTCAATAGGCTGTGAAAAGGTCTCTTGTGGAGAGCGGAGCTGGCCACCCTAATATGTGACACCACTAGGAACTGCCAACATTGCACCATCTTTTAACTGATAAGAATGTCAACTGCATATGGCAAAACCTAAATCAAATTTAACCTCCCCCGAGAACCTGCCCTAATCATCTTCATTGCTTACTGTTTTTCCCTTGGCCCTCCTCACCATGTAACCTACTCTGTTCTATTGCTGTATGTATGATCTTTCTCTTCCACTAGAATGTAAGCTCTAGGAAGTTAAGGATTTTGTTCACTGCCGTGTCCTCAGAGCCTAGAACAGAACTTCCCTCAGAGTAGGTGCTAAGTATTTGCTGTATGCATAAGCTTCACTGGGACTAGAACCATAAGCCAGGCAAACTAGCTCCTGAGTGGCAGAGAAACCCAACACAACAGCCTGCGATCCAATGATGCGCAGGGCCCTTCTCCTGCCCAAGATAGGGTGGACATGAGGAATGAAGTCAGTATAGAATAGTACCAAGGCTCCATACAACAAAACTGTGCTAACTAGAATCATCATACATCTTTATAAAATGCCTTTCCCCGCTTTGAACAACATAACTCTTCACTGACACAAGCTGAAAGGGGAATTAGGCAGGAACATTCTTCTCGGTGCAGCTGCTGACAGGTTGGAGTCTCCCCAGGGACCAATTCCAGCACTCTAGCAGTTTCTGAAGATCGCAAACAAATATAAGAGCTACTTGGAAATGCTTGCCATTTGATTTTCCAGTGTTCTTTACTCTACCCGAGGGTGAGAAGATGCTGTCCTCATCAGCAGTGTTAGGGTTAATCGTTGTGGTCTCCTCCCTATGAATTGTTCTCTCCTCTACATTTAAGGTGAAATTAAAGGGAATAAAGATTTTACTCTCGGGATCCCTGGGTGGCGCAGCGGTTTGGCGCCTGCCTTTGGCCCAGGGCGCGATCCTGGAGACCCGGGATCGAATCCCACATCAGGCTCCCGGTGCATGGAGCCTGCTTCTCCCTCTGCCTGTGTCTCTGCCTCTCTCTCTCTCTCTCTCTCTGTGACTATCATAAATAAATAAAAAAAAATAGTTTGTATAAAAAAAAAAGATTTTACTCTCAGTAACATCCCCCATCAAGGACTTCCTAAAGACTTCTTGAGTTTTCTCCTTGGAATCTCATACTAGCCACAGCTCCTGAAACTGATGTCCTGATGGGAATGAGCCCAGGAAAATCTGGGTCCCAGTTCCACCTCTACTGCGGCACCAACTCTGAGTTTGGGCAAATCGCATATCCTCTATGACTATATTCCAACAGGTCTAAAACCTACCTTATAGATTTGTTTATACCTCAGTTAATAAACATGCATTCCTACCATGAAGGATAAAGTACAGATTGCATTTGTACTGAGATGATGCTACGAAGGGAATCCAGGCCTTACCTCTACATACCACTGGCCAAACTGAAAGAGTAGTTGGGTACTTCCCTCTGACTTTAGCAGGACACAGATAGGAGAGGGTCACACAGTATTCCAGTTTTTGTCTGCCCTTCACTGACTTTTGAGTACCCCTTACTTCTTTCTATCTTCAGTGGTCCAGGCAAACAAGACCTTCCATTCCAGTGGATTTATACCTTTAATGGAAAATAACCTAACCACTGAGTTCCTCTTCTGAAATGAAAGGTTCTTTAGCCTCAAATCTGAAACATGCAAGGACAACATATCCTCCATGGAAATAGATCCTTTCTTCCAAACATCTCAAATCTCCCTCTTTGTGTTTCTTTCATGAGCATAGACAAAGCTTTCAAGCCTCTTAGTGAAAATGCTTCTTACCTTTCAAAGAACATGTAAAATTACCAAGAGAAATTCCAGAAGTACTTTGGGAGCTGCAGGTCCCTATGACTTCTGTGCCTGATTACTTTTCTAGTCATCCCTCTCAGTCTATAAAATGGGAGCCAGATTAACAATGACTGCTCTGGGTGCCTGCAGACCATGACCCTGACAATCTCTTCTCCTTATTATTTAAAAATAACCTGAGGACAAGGAATGAGTCTATGACAAAAATAAGGCAATACTAGTCTGCACTGATTTATAACAATACTGCATTATGTTTGAGAGGCCTCACGGCATGGAATGGATCACCATTTTGATGGAATCGATCAATCAGTGGGTCCCTGAGTAGATGTTTGTTTTGTGCTTACTCAATGTGAGGCTCTGTGCCAGACAGGGTCCTCCTTTACAGGCCTCAAGATAGTGGACGAGCCAGGTCCACCAACAATCCATCATTGAGACATTGTTGAGAGCTGAGGTGGCTGAGAGCAGAGCAGTGACCATGGTGTTGGAGGAGAGGGGAGGGATATGAAAGGGACAGGAGGGCTGGAATTAAATAGAATTTCTTCATTGGATCCATCAGCTCTGTCCTAAGTGTCCTTATTCCATCTTACTGTCTACATGATAATCCATTGCATAATTTTTGAAGGAACTTTAGTAGTATTTTATGGAAGTACAGAACACATGAAACTATAGTGCATTCATCCACACTGGAGTAATAATTTCTTACAATGAGAAGCAGCTCTAAGCCTTACGAAAACACTTATTTTACATTCTATGTAGATCAGTGGCATAAATGTAGTAGCTGGCTCATTTTTGCATCAGAATATTTTTCATCCAATTAAACTCCACTTAAAAGTAAAACATGGGTTTCCTTACTCTCTGAACTCTCATATGTGAATATCTGCTACAATGATCTGCTGATAGATACAAAATTCATTACCCACGGGGCTTGCCGCTTTTGTATCTCAGATATTCTCCTGATAGGAGAGTGTCTTGAGTTCACAGTGTTTAAACATGTTATGTTTTATAGCTATCCTATTGCCCACATTATTCAGTAAAAGGTCTTCTGATAATTTAGAGAAACTAACGAAGGAAACTGTCAAGCTTAAAAAGCATAAATAGCCACACACAATACAAGAATAACCGGTAGTAAAAAAAAAAAAAAAAAAAAAAAAAAAAAGAATAACCGGTAGTGATAACGCACATTGAAAGTTGAAGGACTATGAGCCTTTAAGCCTGGCCATGCACTCGTCCTATCCCCAACACCTAGAAACCACAAATACAATGCTGAATATTTACAAGATATTTGAGATTCCACAAAAGAGATTTTTTTTTTTTTGCTGGTGCAAGTGAGTGTGATCCTGGCATGAGCAGACTTGTCACATTCACACAATTACAAATGCAGTCTCACGTTAGCGAGAGCTGTAGGACACCAAGCACATGGAATGCAAACAGACTGCCACCGGGAGCTCTGCTTTCCATCCCATTGCTCTGTGTGTAGCTTTAGACAATGGTTCACAGCCAAACACCTCTAAACTCTCCTGCCAGGAAGGGAAGATTCTCGCCCCCCCCCCATTGCTTAGATCCAGACACAGATGAACGTCAGACATTTCCTGTTTAACTCACTTCTTCACCAGCTCTTTCTTCCTTACCACCCCCACCACCAAATAGCAACAGTGACCACAGTCTCCAGCTCCCTCTCCTTACCACCAGACCTCACACAAGCATGTCTTTAATCATAAGAAACCTCTTGAAAAATTATCTTGTTTATTTTATTTTTAAGTATTATTGGCATGTGGTGCACATCTTTAATATATTATTTTGCTATTTATTTACATGTACATATATACTATCATGCAGAAGGAAAGATGCAATCCACTCTCGATACTCTACCCAGCACAGTGTCTAGTATTATGGCTTTCTACATACAGACATACCTACTAATGAGTTTATCAAGTATTCAATAACTAGATAGTATCACAAACAATTTCGATTTTGTAAAAATCTTTGGTGGATTGTTAAAAAGGTAAAAGAATGGATTTACTAGTGATACCTGTTCAACTGGCATTTTCCTGTGAGTTAGGAATGTAGTTTTATTTTTCTCACTCAAAATCATGGAATACTGCCTCTGTTCTTTGAAACTTGATTAATAACTGTTAAAAAACACATAATATTCACAAAAAGAGGGACATCTGTCTAATAGCAGTGACCACAATGTGTACTCGCTGTACACATTTAAAAGTATTTCAAGAAGAAGTAGTAATCAAGTATCATTCTTAAAGGCATTGTCTTAATTTGAAAGTCATTAAATGTGTCAGTTAAGTGTGCTCTATTGCTTTAAAAAAAAAATAAAAAGCCAATGGCTTGTATTTATATTCAGCTGGAGAGGTTAGAATCACATTATCTGGGCAAAGGAATTCAGACTAGTAGGTTGCTCTTCTGGATTCGATTGTTTGTTTTTTCATTTTAATGGGAAAATATTTGTAGATATTATTTCTCTCATTTCAGTGTTGTTTAAAGTGTGTCCTTTCAAAAAAAAAAAAAGTGTGTCCTTTCATTAAAGTATGTCTCCATCACTTACATCAGCATCAGCCTCTCACCTGTACTCTGGATATACATGTTCTTCATTTGAGTCTTCTTGTATCAGCATAACCTCATCCTCAGTTTTATTGACAGCACAAAGTTCCTGCAGAAAAACCGGCATTTCAGATACTTAAAATGTACTTGTATAGTAAAGCTACCCAACACTTTTGTATATAGCATGTAGCCAATTTGGAAGCAATCTCATATCCAGTATCACAGCTAATCTGCATATCAATGTGAGAAAGACGCTTGATTTTGCAGATGTGAACACTAAGGATTGTAGAGACGTAATGATCTGGCCCGAGGGGCACAGCTAGTAGACCCAAGATCAGAGCCGATCCATTAAACAGATGTACTGAGTTCACTGTTCTGTCCACTGTGCTACATAGTCACACCATGAAAAAAAAATCTTCCTTTAAAAAGCCCTCCATTCTCACAAGATTTGTCCTCCAAAGTGATCACTAATATGGAACAAATATTCTAGAAACCCAGAGAAAAACGTCAATAGATCACAAATAGGGATCCCGGTGCCATGAGGGTAGTGTGCCAAATGAGATCTTTTTTTGCTCGGAGGGAGGAGGCTTGGTAGTGACCCCAAAATGGGATGTCTGCCTTCTCGCCGCAAATATGAGAGCTCAAATCCCAGAGAGCTGCCAGAGAGGCGTAATGATTGGGGCAATCAGATCAAGCAATTTCCTTCAACTGCTTTTCTGTCACTTTTGTCACGATTTTAAATCTTAAAAAATGATGACATACATTACTGCTCTACAACTGAATATAAAGGGATCCTTCACAGTTTCTGAAATGTGGTCAAAGTCCACATTCTAAACCAGAGAGGAAAAGTAAAGCATGTCTTTTGTTCTCTCTGGATTCTAATGATCACAATACTAATGATAATGATGATTATGATGACTGTAATAGCGTGCACTTCCCAAGTGCTTACCACACATAAGGTGCCATCTTATTCACCCTTCACAACAACCCTAAAAGGAGGTTCCATTCTCGCCATTTACAGAAAAAGAAACTGAAGCTACAAGACGTAAGTGACTCGGATGAAGTTCCACAGCCGGTCTGGACCCAGAGGCTTCTCTCGCAAGGCACCTGGATGTATTGTATGTCACAATGTCATCATAATGTTAACGTGGCTCTTGATTTGCCCCCCACTCCCACACTGCCCAATCCACAGCGTCCCTGTCTTGCTCAAGTCAGCTGGTGGCACTTCCATTCACTGAGCAGCTGGGGTCTAGAAGCTAGGAGTCGCTTCTCTCTCTTCTCCCACCCACTCTCGCCACATCAGCAAAGACTCTGCATCCCGTCTGCCAGTGACAACCCCAACCCGGGTACTTCTATCTCCATTACTCCAATCCCAGCCCATTCCATCACCTCTCACACCCCTCCTCTCGCCTCTGCTCTTGGTTCCCCCAGAGTCCATTTCCCACCCAGGAGCCAGCCTCATCTTTTAAAAACAAAAGCAATGATATCTGATCACATCATCCTGCTTTCCACTCCACTTGAGTAAAATTCAAACTCATGCTTCCAGTCCTCCAAGTTCTCCATAACCCGGCCTCTGTCTACCTCTTGTATCTAATTTTCTACTACTCCTTCCCTCTTTCATCTTCTTCTAGTCCCATAATGGTATTTGTTCCTTGGTATCCTACAAGCTAGTTACTACCTTGGCACTTTTATAGCTGCTGAACCCTCGACCTGGGTTGCCTTCCTTTCTTTGCTGGGTCACCATCATCATTGCAGGTCTCAGTTAAAAAAACAGGTCATCAAAGAAAGACCTTCCGTGACCACTCTGCCCGAACTCCCTATTGCCAGCAGCCATCAGCATATGATTGTTTTATCATCCCTGTGGCACTTTTCAATAATACTTGTGTATTGTCTCTTTCCTCTTATATTTCCCCAGAACCTAGCATAGTGCCATGGACATCATAGATGCTTACTAAATATTTAGTGCATAAATTCACTGAACCTGAATCTATCCAATGAATTCTAAAGGCTGATTTTTCTTTTTTGAGGCAGAATCTGTGAGTGCTATGTTAGTAGAACACTAAGCGAGCCATAGTGGTGGACGTGGGGGAGAATGGCCTCAAAACTCAGCTGGTGACAGAAATCTTCCTTTATCCTCCTGCCAAAACGGTCACTTATCTTAATATGTCCCAGCCCCCAGTCCCCGTATACCTCTTTCATATCACATCAAAATCACTTGTGAATGATTGTGCATCCCTTTTGGATGTGCTGACTGACACGTTCACCTTCTGAAATGCAGGAGCTGATCTTTCCTCATTCACATATCCTACTTAGTGCAACTCCCTGGACATGTTGGGTTCCTTACCAATGCTGTCTGGTAGTGGAAGGACCAAAGGGGCCATGGCCTTTCAAAGGAAGCCCACACACTGAGGTGGGCACTTGATGGGATGAGCACTGGGTGTTATCCTCTATGTTGGCACCAATAAAAAATAAATTTATAAAAGTAAAAAAAGGAAACCCACGATGCCACAGTAGGAAAGGCACACACACACACAACATACTCACCTGTAGGGTCTGAGGCTTGAAGAGACAAATGGACCCCACCATATAAAACCGATCCTCCAAAGGAAGATATGTAGGAAACGATTCAGCATAGGTGTGACTGGGGAAGAAGCTACTGAAGAGCACCAAAGGCTCTAAGGGAGACAGAGACACACATGTGACAACCAAATAGGAAGGCAGCCTGGCTACACAAGATGAACACCTCCACCTCAGTGGGATGTTTGACCCTTAGTCTCCAAGACACATGACAAACATAGGAGACAACCATTCTGTAAGCTAATTGTCATTGTTTATTTACTCATTCATTCATTCATTTGTTATATTTTCAGACCTCAGTGACGAAGAACTGAGTTACTGACACTCTTAGTTCACGGCATGTAATGAACAGAGTCTCCACTCTTGTTTTTCTTTCTGCCCCTTATCCACCCACAGGCACCCACTGCCATCTACCACCTTTGATATATACACTTTAAACTATGTAGTCTGGTTTTATGTGTATGTGTTTACCATTTAGAAAGGTGGCATTGTGCTGTGGACCTCATTCTGTTTCTTACTTTTTTTCAATGAACAATATGGTTTTAAGATTTAACCATGTTGTAACATGTATATCTAGAGGTCATTGCTTTCAAAGTTTTCCACATGGTATGTCTCCCACATTTTACTTGTCCATTTCCCTAAAGATGCTCACGTAAGTCTGACTCTCCCTCCTACCACAAACAACACTGACATACGTAGTACGTGTCCCTTTATACACAGATCTCTCTGCAAGTTCGCCTCTGGTATATTTCCACGCAGTGATGGGATTGCTGAGTCACAGGATAATTAACATAACTTAAGTTCACCCTGTTTTTCAGGAATGCTTCATGAGTTTACATTCCTCTCAACACTGTATTAATGCTTTAATTCTCACCTCTTCACCAATATTTGCTTATTATTCACACTTCCTGAATGCTGTCATTCTTAATGGGTGTACAGTGCTATCTCACTGGTTTTTAAATTTTTCATTCTTTGCTCACCAGTTAGTTTAAGCATGTTTTCACATATTTGTTGTGCCATTTACCTCTGCTTCAAGCCCTAGATGTTTTAATGGCCCCAAATCAGTGTTTATGTTAATTTCTCAGCCTACAGTTCCTGAAACCTTAAAAACTATAAATCTGGACCCCGTATCCACACAACACAGATTTAAGTTTTGATTTCTTGTAAAGAACACATTTTTTTCCCATTCAAATTCTGAGGGAGATGGCATACTTATTCTTCCTCTAGGCCAGTGGACAGAATTTTACCAATCATTTGAAGTCTCTAGGCTTAATGTGTTGGTCCTTGAATGAATATTAGAACTCGAGACACCAGCCAAAGGAGCCCATGTGTGATTTATAGCCCACTTAGGCCACCACCTAGGCCTCCTGTTACCATGACAATCTTGTACTTTTTCCTTTAATTTCTGGCATCCATGGACTTTCCTTTCCTTTAAGCTTGGCTATGCATCAAACTTCTTTTATGTTTTAAGAATTGTTTCCCTGTTTTTATAGAAGGAAAGAGTCATTCTTATTAGCTCAGTCCATCATGTTACCATGTGGCCCTACCTTGTAAATTTCACTATACTTTTAAAGTGAGTATTTAATATACTTTTTAAGAATAGAAGGATTGCAACAAGGACGAGAGTTTTATAATATATGTGAGATATTTCTGTGAAAGGAATTCCATTTTTCAAAGAAGTTTCCCTTATTTCCCTGTCTTTTCTACTTTCCACAGAGCAATAAACAGTAATTACAACTCTCATAAGTAAGCTGCTCCATCGTACTGGACAGTAATCATATCTTTATGTTTCAAGTCCTCATCATCTCCAAAAGCTCCTTTCCTTTCACTGCGCAGTCTCACTGCACTCTTTCACAATAACATTGCACTCTGCTCAAATTCAAAGAGCCTGAACAAAAAAGCTAGAGGCCCAAGGATTTTTGGGTACTGATTTAGTAGCAGTGTCTACTGGCACAAACCTTCTATTTATTCATAACTGCCGTAACAGAAATGAAAGCTACTTTAATGAACAAGGAACTGAAGAATGAGATCATTAAATATAATGAAACATTTTAAATATAATATCATGTGTTTTCTGATTAGTGTCAGGTAAGTATTTAAGCTATCTATCCTGAATTCTGGTCACAGAGAAAAAGGTCAGAGACAATTACAAGCAAGGTGCTTCATATTAGCAGGTCCATTTTTAAAACAATGAGATCCTTTGGAACAATTACTTTACTCTTTCTTTGTATCAGAGGTTTCCTTTGGTCCTTTTGTTGGTAATCCATTTATGTCTGTGCCTTTATTGTCTACTTTGCCTTTTTTTAATCATAGGATTCTTTTTTAAAAGTCCGATTAATGTCTATAGCCAAAACCTGTGGTCATAGGGATATCACAGGATGTGAGAGTACCACCAGCAGAACGGCATTTATGTCAGCAATGAAGGGCTAGGTAGCACATTAACTTCATCTAGATCAGATTAAAAACTGAATTGCTTACCACTTGAAATATCTTTGACTGTGATGATGAACTTCACGTATTCATAAGTAGGGCTGCTACTATGTTCAACATCTCCTCTCTTAAAATGACAGCAAAAATCAATATGTTTTCCCACTAAGAAAAAAGAACAGATACAAGTTTATAATTGTACATTACCATATTCTGCAGGATTATTTCATAGGACTATCATCTTACTTAGAACAGATTTTACAAAAACCTTATTTTCTTTCCAGGAACATTAGCACTGCATAAATATCTATGCTGTATCTGTAGAGTGGAGTACCAGCTAGAACATTATTTATAGAACACTAATGCAATTATACGAAAACTGAAATAATCACAGTTCATGATAAAGAACAAGGTTTAATGGAGGAGAAATTTTTTAATACTAGAAATATAATTTGTGAAATTACATTAAGTTAATACATAACCAGCAGCTATATTGTCCCTAATGTTTTTATTTTTATTACTTCTCTGAGTGACTGCTACTTGTCTCTAAAAAAAAAATCTAAAAACTTACAATTGAGAAGAAATGATCTGTACCTGAGCTTGACAAAGGAAGTTTGAGAGCAATCTTTCGATAGACTTCGTTTTTCTCATTATCAGGCAGAAGACTTAATAACTTTTTGCCTATGAGATCATTCTTGAGAAAGAGAGGATACATTTTGTTATATCTGCTACTACTGTGTACTTTCTTCACCCCCTTACCTCCAGTAAGCTTATCATCATCTGCTCCCCCTCAGCCACCTCATGGTCATATGTATGTATTATGCCTCTCTACAAGTCCCAGTTCTCATTATCCCACTCTACGCCCAGTACCCCCTACCTTTCGCAGCGCACTCACGCAAGTACTCTACCTCTCCCACAATAATTCCACACATTGAGACCTCCAGTCCATTCCCATCACATTTCCACTGGGCGTTATCTCCTGCAAATTGTCACATCCCTCCTTACCAGCTCAGATCCCTTGGTGGATCACTATAATCATTATAATCACTCCCATGTTCTCTTTCTGTCTGATATATCTGCCTGGGAAAATTTCAAATCTTGATCTACCTTCTACCTTCACCCAAGCAACTGCTTGTCTATGGCAAAAAACCCACAACCATGTTATATATCATTTTATATGGGCACTCAGATCTCTTTAGAAATCATTCTACATTTCCCTAGACAAAGCACTCTGCTACTCTTCGGTGTGACTATTTCTTGCCTCTTTCTCCTTCTTTAAATCTCCAACCCTCCCTCATCCCCCTCATATTCAGCTGGGGATCTCATTTCTTATTATGATTACAAACAAAGGGTAAAAGAAATGTCAATGTCTTCCTGCCATCAAATATACCATACCAACCTATCTGTTCCTGTGGCTAGAGACCTACTTTTTCTCCTATTCCAATGAATAAATTTCCTCAACTAGTCAAGGATATCATTCCAGAAATTTCCCCGTCCCCCACATCATCAAGCTTTCCCTCTCTACCAGGACTTTCCCATAGCATGCAAATCCTTTATAAGAGACGCTACTGTATCAGTCATCTTAAAAAAAAAAAAAAAAACAGAAAATTCCAAAAATCCAAAACCTTCCTTGACCCTACACTCTCTCCTCCAGCTCTTCTCTGCTCTACTTTAGAACAAAAATATTTGAAAGAACTATATTTGCTGCCTCTCTTTTCTTCAGCTCTCACTATCCCTTGAAACTACACTAATTAGATTTTTACTCTAACCACTCCACTTCTGTCAGGGCCACCAATGTCCTCCACATTGCCAAATCCAATAGTCCATTCTCAACCCTCATCTTACCTGACATTGTAGAATTTGATACAACAAATCCTTCCTTCTACTTGAAACACTTTGTTCACTTGGCTTTCAGGATACCATACAAATATGGATTACCTTCTGCTTCAAAGGCCATTCCTTCACAGTTTTCTTTGCTGGAGTTTTCTTGGCATTGGAGTGCCTAGGGCCTAGTCATTGGACTGCTTTCACTGTACTGTCTCCCTGGGTGTTCTCTTTCAGTTCTATCTCATTAAATACCATCTATCTTCCTACCTCTGGTCCAGACTTCTTTCTGGACTCTTCTAGACAACTCAACTTAGATGTCTAACAGGATTTCAATTTTAAGATATCCAAAACACTGTACCTGGATCTTTTCCCTCACAAAACATGCTCCTCCCACATTTCAGTAAAAGGCACCACTGTTTACCCACATGCTTGTCCTTGACTTGTCTTTTTCCTCTTACACACCAAACCCAGCCCATGCAAACTCTTGGTAAAACAGTCAAAAGACAGGCAGAATTGGTCCACTTTTCACCACATGGGCTAAGCCACTATGTCTGGATTGGATTACCACAAACAGCTTTAACTGATCTCCCTGCATCTATTTTTGCCACACCCCGGTTCTCACTCCATTCTTCACAGAGCAGTTACAGTGCTCCATTTAAGACATAAGTCAAAGGATGCCTGGGTGGCTCAGCGGTTAAAACATCTGCCTTTGGCTCAGGGTGTGATCCTTCAGTCCTGGGATCAAGTCCCACATTGGGCTTCCTGCATTAAGCCTGCTTCTTCCTCCACCTGTGTTTCTGCCTCTCACTCTGTGTCTTTCATGAGTAAATATATAAGATTTTTTTTTAAAAATAAAAAAATAAAACATAAGTCAGGTCAAGTTATTCCTCTACCTAACATTTTGCACCAGCTACCCGAATTATTCAAAGGAAAAGCCAAAGTACTGTCAATGGCTTATACAGCTTTCTGTTCTGGTTCCTTGCTATCCATTGACCTTAGTCCCTCCCACTTTCATTCTTTCTCACTGCATTCCAGGTACACTAAACTCTTTATTTCCAAATACACCAAGCAAACAAGTCACCTTGGCACCCTTAAACTTGCTCTTCATTCAGTGTGAAACATTTTCTCCCAGATATTTATGATACTCTCCCTTATTTCATCCAACTTCCTACTCAAAAGTATTTGAAAAAGCACCAATTTCCTGACTTTCTCTTCCTGCTTTTTTTTCAGAGCACACTCATCACTATCCAATATTATAGTCCCATGTATATTTTTACCTTCATCACTATCCAATATTATAGTTCCATGTATATTTTTACCTGTTTATTATCCATATCCCTCAGTAAAATGTAAATTGCATTAGAACAGAGACCTTGGTTGTCTTATTCACTGTTATATCCTCAACACTTAGAGCACAGCTTGGCACAAATGAGCACTCAATAAATGTTGGTTAAATGAATGAATAATGCTGTACCATGTAGCTGAAATATGGTGACATATGAATAAATTGAATATCAGACATTAAGTAATGAGTTTTTAATGTGATAGGAACAAAGTAATAAACTATTCTTTGTAGCTAAATAATGATTTTGGGTGATGAACCACAAAATCAAATAATTTGTAACTGATTAATATTAATAATATACAGTCAAAATTCAGAAATATATTTTTATGGCCTATTTGTAGAAGCCAGCATAGCCTATGAGTTAGCCCATGCTCAAATTAGCAGATGGATCCTGTCAATCAAGAAAAAGCATGGTTCGATTCAGGGCAGAAATATTACCTTAGCTTAGCAAATAAAACATTATGAAATTAACAGGCGACATATTTTGACAATGAAAGTCACTCAATAGGAAATTTACTTCCCAAAAGAAATCTAGATATTTTTCATTAAACTTAACTTTTCCAATAAAAATTCTTTTATTGGTTTAGTTATAAAATAAACTTTAGGTACCAAACCAAGTTACCTCTGGTCAGTGGAGCCCACTCATCCATTCATTTGTCTAACCCATGATTAGCAACTGCTCTATGCCAGACACTGTGCTAGGTGTATTCATATAAACTAGCTTACATAATACCCTAAGAGAGGAAGAATTATCCCATGTTTTGTTCATGAGGAAATTAAGGCTTGTCCAATTATTGAGAGGTCAGAAGTTCAGAGATAAGATTCACACCCAAGTCCATCCAACTAACTCTATGTCCAGTGTTCCCTCCAATACACCATGGCTGCCTCAAAGCCCAATTTGTATCAGGAGCAGATGACTTGCTATTGGGTCAGTTTCTGCACTGTGGACATTCTACATGAAGCAATTTATCAAGTTATTTTTCTACTGAGTACTTATAAGGGTTAAAAATGATGATCTCATGAATTCTAATTTTAATGAATACATAGTTCAGTAAGGCAGATGAGACAGGCACAAAATTATGATGCAAAGTATACAATAAGAGGTACAAAGTGCCATGCCTCACCAGTTCTTTCTTTAGTAGAAGAATAAAGGATAGCATTGTGACATAAAAGATTTCAAAGTGAGCAGTCTTTTGATAGTGTACATTCCCTTGGATGGAATACTGGCAATTAGTTTCTTATTAATTAACTACGTTCTTTAAGGAACGTAATAGTGACAATGAATGCCCTGGGATTGACCACCAACTAAAAAAAGTGAATGTAACGATCATTCCAGTGATCCTGCTCCATAGCTCGATAAAGGGCAGAGATCTGAAAACATTATCAACATCATATTATTTTTGTAAATCTTTGGCATTTGCTCTTCTTATTACACAAGGCAGAAAGATCAAGGCACTCAAAGCTTAATGAAGCAAGGATTAAATACCAGTGAAAAGTTAAGGAAGTTTTTCAAGAGCCAAGTTTGCAAATACTTATCAGTTGTCCCACGAATATTAGTATGGTGAGCCTCAGTCATAACAAAAAAAAGTAAAAGAATTTACTACACTCCATAACATTTACTGAGAATCCAGGCAAGAAGTATCTTTTTGTTGGCAGAGACATTCACATTAAACATGCATTAGAAAACTGTCCAACTGTATAGGGCAGAGGGAAAGATAAGAGCCTCTGCACAAAATTCAGACTGCATTTTGATTCAAACAAGACTCGTCACTAGTAATTCTCTACTTTGCTGTAAGCTTTGCAGGGAGAACAAAACAAAACTCATCACAATTATCGTGAACTAACCATATATCTATGTTCGAAACCTGCTAAAGTTTCTGAAAAACTCAATGCTGGGAAACTGCTTCCATGAGGAAATGTGTTTGAAAAGTTTCATTTGTTTTAAAATTGTAAGAGAACAACTATATGTAAATTCACAGTTTTAGCTTTTTTTGGGGGGGAGAGTGATGAAGTGGAGTGAGTAGGAGGGCAGGCTGCTAGAAACTACAAGTTGCTACTACAAGTGACTGCAAGTTTTTCCAAAGGAAAACACTGTCAAGGAAAATAAATGACTGGGAAAATACAACGGCAGATTTCAGATGTAAATTTAATACCATGATGATGATAATATGCTATCATTTTAGTCATAATTGCATGTGTTACAACACCATACCTTGGACTCCTCACATCTTTTTGTCACACCCCTGTCTAATCCATCAACAAAACTTATTTTACCTATAAAATATTGATGACTTCCATGTCCACCTTAAAGCAACCCATCACCATCTAAGCCTGGACTATTGCAACAGCTTTCCAAGTGGACTCCCTATGTTTCATGCCTGCCCCCACAGCCTACTCTTTTTTTTTTTTTTTTTTTTTTAGTTTCAGCAGAGTTAACATACAGTGTTGTGTAAGTTTCAGGTGTACGATATAGTGATTCACCACTTCTATACAACAGCCGGTGCTCATCACAACAAATGCACTCTTTCATCCCCATCACCTCTTTCACCCTTACCCATCTCCCCACTGGTGAACATCAGTTTATTCTCTATAGTCTGTTTTTTGGGGCGCCTAGGTGGCTCAGTCGCTTAGGCATCTGCCATCAGCTCAGGTCATGATCCCAGGGTCCTGGGAGCCTCATATTGGGCTCCCTGCTCAGGGGGAAGCCGGTTTCTCCCTCTCCTTCTGCCTGCCCTCTGCCCCCATCCCCATGCCACGCTT